CTTTTAGGTTGATTGTGTTACTAGGTTGAAAGTTCATCTACTCGACGATGGTCATTAAAGTCTATTTACTACACGAGGGTGATTAAGATCTATCTACTATATGAGGGTCATTAAAATCTGCCTTTTACACGAGGGTCATTAAGGTAGGTTGGTTGGTTGGTTGGTTGGTTGGCTAATTGGGTTTAAAGCCTATCTACTACAAGAGGGTCATTAAGGCTGCATGTCACCTGTACACCACCAGTCAAGAATACTTTAATACCTAAAATACTGATTAATATAAACTACCAGTGTATATACACTGAGACATACACCTCATAGTGTATATACACTGAGACATACACCTCATAGTGTATATACACTGAGACATACACCTCATAGTGTATATACACTGAGAGACATACACCTGAGGTGGCAAGAAGAGCTCACTCGAGCAGAGCAAGGTTACTGGTTATGGACGATTTCAACCACAGGGAGATCGATTGGGAAAACCTGGAGCCACATGGGGGTCCCGAAACATGGAGAGCCAAGATGATGGATGTGGTACTGGAAAACCTCATGCACCAACATGTCAGGGACACTATCAGAGAGAGAGGAGAAGATGAACCAGCAAGACTGGACCTTGTGTTCACCCTGAGCCGTTCATACATTGAGGACATCACTTATGAGAGGCCCCTTGGAGCTAGTGATCACGTGGGTCTGAGTTTTGAATATATAGTAGAGTTACAAGTGGAGAGGGTAACAGGAATTGAATGGGAAAAGCCAAACTATAAATGGGGAAACTACACAGGTATGAGGAACTTCCTGCGGGAGGTTCAGTGGGACAGATAGCTGGTAGGAAAGTCAGTAAACGAGATGATGGAATATGTAACAACAAAATGCAAGGAGGCAGAGGAAAGGTTTGTTCCCAAGGGCAATAGAAATAATGGGAAGACCAAAGCGAGTCCTTGGTTTACCCAAAGGTGTAGGGAGGCAAAAACTAAGTGCACAAGAGAATGAAAAAGGTACATGAGGCAAAGAACCCTGGAAAACGAGTGTGCACAGATAAGGAGGGAGGCCCAGCGACAGTACGAAAACAACATAGCATCGAAAGTTAGGTCTGACCCGAAACTGCAGTATAGCCACATTAGGATGAAGACAACAGTCAAAGACCAGGTGATCAGGCTGAGGAAAGAGGGTGAGGAACTCACATGGAACAATCAAGAGGTATGTGAGGAGCTCAACATGAGACTTAAGGAAGTATTTACAGTACAGACAGGAAGGCCTCTGGGAAGACAGAACAGAGGGGGACACCAACAAGGAATATACTAACAAGTGTTGGATGACATACACACAACTGAGGAGGAGGTGTAAAGTAAAAGGACACAAGTGCAACTAATATGACATTTATTGTGGCAACGTTTCGCTCTCCAGGAGCTTTATCAAGCCATTACAAACAATACATGGACACAGAGGGTATATAAAGGCTCTGAGTGAGGTGCAATACTAGTGAGGTACCATTTCGATGTTCACTAGTGGTAGTAGTAGTAGTAGTAACAAAAATAATACAATATGGAAGAGCAAATAATTCGTACATGAGTAAAAGGATATAAAAGCTTTGTAGATGAATGGTTCAGAGAACCGACATATAAAAGCTATTACTTGGGTAACATAAAAATAGGTTGGACAAATATAGACTGGAAAGAGGCAGGTTTTTTTCGGTGTTCACTCTCTGTAATGTGCTTGTGTAGTATAACAGGAGAGACTATGTGATGGCAGGGTTTACTGTTTTCAGGAGGATTCTTGCTAAGACTTCGGAGATGGTGAAGCTGCCGTTGTTTTGTTTAATTGTATTCGAAACAGCGATCAGTGCTGATTCAAGGCACTTGCGTGTGCGGAAATTAGTTTCTTTGATCACTAATTGGGCGTCCCTGAACTTCATGAGATGATGGTGGAATTTCGGTGTTGTACACAGGCGTTGTTTAAGTTGTCGTTCCTACATGCGTAAATGTGTTCATTGAGGCGGGTGTCGAGGTTTCTTGCTGTTTCACCTACGTAGATCTTGTCACAGCCTCCACAGGGTATAGTGTAAACTCCTGCATTGACTGGTTCGTGGTGCTTGGGTTTAGTCCTGGTTAGATCCTTTATTGAAGTGGTAGAAGCGATGGCGACTCTGGTGTTAGCTTGTGAAAGTACTTTTGAGACGTTTAGTGAAACCTGGCTGTTGGGAAGAATTATAACTTTGTTGGTAGCGGTGTTGATGCGTGGAGAATTGATGATCTGAAGAGCTCTTTTCTTGCAGTCTTTGATGAAAAAAGAAGGAAATTGTAACTCAGTGAATGTTTGGTGAATGTAAGTACATTCCTCGTCAAGAAACTCAGGACTACAAATTCGGTATGCTCTTAGGAAAAACTCGATGATGATGCCTCTTTTGGTCTTGGTATCTTGACTGGAATAGAAGTGTGTGAGATCATTTTTATTGGTGGGTTTCCGATAAACTTGAAATCTTAGGTTGTTGTCTACTTTGTGAATGAGGACGTCGAGGAAAGGTAGCTTGTCATTGGACTCTTCTTCTAGTGTAACTGAATCGCTGGTTCAACTGCGTTGAGCCTTGCCTGAAGATCCCGTACATCAAAACGTTTTGGAGTTATTACGAGGACATCGTCCACGTAACGTAACCAAGTGACGCTTGAAGAGATGATGTTGGCGAAGTGTTCGGACTCTAGGTGTTCCATGTATAAGTTGGCTAGGACGGCACTTATTGGGGACCCCATTCCCATGCCGTAGGTTTGTTTGTAGAGCTTGTTATTGAAAGAAAAACAGTTGAAGTTAACACAGAGTTCAATCAAGTCAACAAAATCTCCGGGAGGTAAAGGAAGATTAAGGTCCTGGTTGACTTTACGTCGTAGAACCTCGATGGCTTTTTTGGTAGGTACTTTTGTGAAGAGGGAAGTCACATCCAAACTGCTTAGTTTCTTGTTACGGATGGAGAGGTTACGGATGCGGTTGAGAAGGTCGCCTGAGGAGGTGAAGAAGCTGCTAAGGGACCTTGATACCTCAAAGGCAATGGGACAGGACAATATCTCCCCGTGGGTCCTTAGAGAGGGAGCAGAAATGCTGTGTGTGCCACTAACCACAATCTTCAACACAACCCTTGAAACTGGGCAACTACCTGAGGTATGGAAGACTGCAAATGTAGTTTCCATTTTTAAAAAAGGAGACAGAAAAAAGGCACTAAACTATAGACCAGTGTCACTGACGTGTACAGCATGCAGAGTCATGGAGAAGATTGTCAGGAGGAGAGTGGTGGAGCACCTGGAACGGAACAAGAGTATAAACGCCATCCAGCACGAATTTATGGAAGGCAAATCCTGTGTCACAAACCTTCTGGAATTTTATGATAAAGTAACAGAAGTAAGCCACGAGAGAGAGGGGTGGGTTGACTGCATCTTCCTGGACTGCAAGAAGGCCTTTGACACAGTTCCTCACAAGAGATTAGTGCAGAAGCTAGACGATCAGGCATGAAATAACAGAAAGGGGCACTGCAATGGATCAGAGAAAACCTGACAGGGAGGCAACAACGAGTCATGGTACGCGATGAGGTATCACAGTGGGCACCTATGACGAGCGGGGTCCCACAGGGGTCGGTCCTAGGACCAGTGCTATTTTTGGTATATGTGGTTTACATGATGGAGGGGTTAGACTCGGAAGTGTCCCTGTTCGCAGATGATGTGAAGTTAATGAGGAGAATTAAATCAGATGAGAATTAGGCAGGACTTCAAAGAGACCTGGACAGGCTGGACACCTGGTCCAGCAACTGGCTTCTCGAATTTAACCCCGTCAAATGCAAAGTCATGAAGATCGGGGAAGGGCAAAGAAGACCGCAGACAGAGTATAGGCTAGGTGACCAAAGACTGCTAATCTCGCTCAAGGAGAAAGATCTTGGGGTGAGTATAACACCGAGCGTTCCGATACCTTAGTAAGGAATCGTTCAAGACACTGTACACCATGTACGTCAGGCCCATACTGGAGTATGCAGCACCTGTTTTGAACCCACACTTGATCAAGCACGTCTAGAAATTAGAGAAAATGCAAAGGTTTGCCACAAGGTTAGTTCCAGAACTAAGGGGAATGTCCTATGAAGAAAAGTTAAGGGAAATCGGCCTGACGACACTGGAGGACAGGAGGGTTAGGGCAGACATGATAACGGCATACAAAATACTGCGTAGAATAGACAAGGTGGACAGAGACAGGATGTTCTAGTGAGGGGACACAGAAACAAGGGGCACAATTGGAAGCTGAAAACCCAGATGAGTCAAAGGGATGTTAGGAAGTATTTATTCAGTCACAGAGTCGTCAGGAAGCGGAATAGCCTAGCAAGTGAGGTAGTGGAGGCAGGAACCATACATAGCTTTAAGATTACGTATGATAAAGCTCATGGAGCAGGGAGAGAGATGACCTAGTAGCACTCAGTGAAGAGGCGGGGCCAGGAGCTGTTTCTCGACCCCTGCAACCACAATTAAGTGAGTACACTGCAATGCCGGCTACGTGGGCTGGCTAGATTCTCTCTTGAACCTGTCCTCACATACCCCATCTCTACCCTCGACACGACCTGCATACATATATGTTGTTATGTATATACATATGTATGCTGTAATGCATGTCTCCTCATGCTCTACCTTCTCCATATATGTATGTATGTATATATATATATATATATATATATATATATATATATATATATATATATATATATATATATATATATATATATATATATATATATATATATATATATATATATATATATATATATTAAGGTGAAAGGACTGATAACCTCCTGTCAAGGTTGAGGGACTGATTGTCTTATCTGTTACTGTTATTCATGATATGATCTTTGTATAGCACTGGAAATTAAAGTCACTGGATGGCGGAATGTCTTAATAGTAAAGATTCCAGGTGATATCCAGATGGTGTACTCTTTACCACCTGTGTTGCTCACATTTCTAGATGATGAAGTGCGTGGGACCAGCTGTGATGACGCAGGTGATGGTGACGGTGGTGGTGATGGTGGTGGTGATGGTGATGATGGTGTCTGGAGAGATGGGTGAGAGAGATAAGCGATTTGTTTTTATCAACACTGCGGCACCCATAACCCTAGGTAAGTCTTCCCATGGTATAAACCTTGGTAATAAATACCGACAAGTTGGTTTAGTGTTTGCTTACGTGTCTTTCTAAACCAAGTCTTCCCATCACTCTACGTAAATCTATCCATCACTCTACGTAAATCTACCCATCACTCTAGGTAAGTTTACCCATCACTCTAGGTAAGTTTACCCATCACTCTAGGTAAGTCTTCCCATCACTCTAGGTAAGTCTACCCATCACTCTAGGTAAGTTTACCCATCACTCTAGGTAAGTCTACCCATCACTCTAGGTAAGTCTTCCCATCACTCTAGGTAAGTCTTCCCATCACTCTAGGTAAGTCTACCCATCACTCTAGGTAAGTCTACCCATCACTCTAGGTAAGTCTACCCATCACTCTAGGTAAGTCTACCCATCACTCTAGGTAAGTCTACCCATCACTCTAGGTAAGTCTACCCATCACTCTAGGTAAGTCTACCCATCACTCTAGGTAAGTCTACCCATCACTCTAGGTAAGTCTACCCATCACTCTAGGTAAGTCTACCCATCACTCTAGGTAAGTTTACCCATCACTCTAGGTAAGTTTACCCATCACTCTAGGTAAGTCTACCCATCACTCTAGGTAAGTCTTCCCATCACTCTAGGTAAGTCTTCCCATCACTCTACGTAAATCTACCCATCACTCTAGGTAAGTTTACCCATCACTCTAGGTAAGTCTACCCATCACTCTAGGTAAGTCTTCCCATCACTCTACGTAAATCTACCCATCACTCTAGGTAAGTCTACCCATCACTCTAGGTAAGTCTTCCCATCACTCTAGGTAAGTCTTCCCATCACTCTACGTAAATCTACCCATCACTCTAGGTAAGTTTACCCATCACTCTAGGTAAGTCTACCCATCACTCTAGGTAAGTCTTCCCATCACTCTAGGTAAGTCCACCCATCACCTTGATCCTGGTGCAGGGTTCTTGATTCAAGGAACCGGGGCTACCCATCCCCTAGCTGTTACTTGACTCGTGCGCATTTAGAGCTTCTCCATGATGATGATAACGATAATAATAATTATTATAATAATTATAATAATTATTATAATATGCATGTTTATCCTGGGTTATCCTGAGTTATCCTGGGTTATTCTGGGTTATCCTGGGTTATCCTGGGTTATTCTAGGTTATCCTGGGTTATCCTGGGTTATCCTGGGTTATTCTGGGTTATCATGGGTTATCCTGGGTTATTCTGGGTTATCCTGGGTTATCCTGGGTTATTCTGGGTTATCCTGGGTTATCCTGGGTTATCCTGGGTTATCATGGGTTATCCTGGGTTATTCTGGGTTATCCTGGGTTATCATGGGTTATCCTTGGTTATCCTGGGTTATTCTGGGTTATCCTGGGTTATCCTGGGTTATCCTGGGTTATCCTGGGTTATCATGGATTATCCTGGGTTATTCTGGGTTATCATGGGTTATCCTGGATTATTCTGGGTTATCCTGGGTTATCCTGGGTTATCCTGGGTTATTCTGGGTTATCCTGGGTTATCCCGGTTTATCCTGGGTTATCCTGGGTTATCCTGGGTTATTCTGGGTTATCCTGGGTTATCCTGGGTTATCCTGGGTTATCCTGGGTTATCCTGGGTTATTCTGGGTTATCCTGGGTTATCCTGGGTTATCCTGGGTTATTCTGGGTTCTCCTAGGCTATCCTGGGTTCTCCTAGGTTATCCGGGGTTATCCTGGGTTATCCTGGGTTATCCTGGGTTATCCTGGGTTATCCTTGGTTCTCTTAGGTTATCCTGGGTTATCCTGGGTTATCCTGGGTTATCCTGGGTTATCCTGGGTTATCCTGGATTATCCTGGGTTATCCTGGGTTATCCTGGGTTATCCCGGGTTCTCCAAAGCTATCCTGGGTTCTCCTAGGCTATCCTGGGTTCTCCTAGGCTATCCTTGGTTCTCTTAGGTTATCCTGGGTTATCCTTGGTTATCCTGGGTTATCCTGGGTTATCCTGGGTTATCCTGGGTTATTCTGGGTTATCCTGGGTTATCCTGGGTTATCCTGGGTTATTCTGGGTTATCCTGGGTTATCCTGGGTTATCCTGGGTTATCCTGGGTTATCCTGGATTATCTTGGGTTATCCTTGGTTATCCTGAGTTATCCTGGGTTATCCTGGGTTATCCTGGGTTATCCTGGGTTATCCTGGGTTATCCTGGGTTATCCTGGATTATCCTGGGTTATCCTGGGTTATCTTGGGTTATCCTGGATTATCCTGGGTTATCCTGGATTATCCTGGGTTATCCTGGGTTATCCTGGGTTATCCTGGGTTATCCTGGGTTATCCAGGATTATCCTGGATTATCCTGGGTTATCCTGGGTTATCCTGGGTTATCCTGGATTATCCTGGGTTATCCTGGGTTATTCTGGGTTATCCTGGGTTATCCTGGATTACCTTGGGTTATCCTGGGTTATCCTGGGTTATCCTGGGTTACTCTGGGTTATCCTGGGTTATTAACCCACCAGGAACACACAATATTACTGACCCAATATTTTTCATGCCATGGATGTTGGTTCCTTCCTCAGGTTTCATGCTCAACATGCCCTTCTCTCTGATCCTGCCCACCATTGATCACTCAGACTTTGATGGGCGGTCCTTGCATCTGGGCACCCTGATGGGAGAAGATCTGATGGCTGAAGATCTGGAGTGGGATGCTGCGTACGAGGATGCTCTGACCAGACTCTTCTCTACTTTGACCACTGCAGTAGTTAGTGGTTGTTGTTAGAGGTGGTGGTTAGTGGTGGTTGTTAGTGGTGGTGGTTAGTGGTGGTGGTGGTTAGTGGTGGTGGTGGTTAGTGGTGGTGGTTTGTGGTGGTGGTGGCTAGTAAGGCTGGTTTGTGGTGGTGGTGATTAGTGGCTGCTGTTAGTGGTTGCTATTAGTGGTGGTTAGTGGTGATGGTGGCTAGTGGTGGTGGTTTGTGGTGGTGGTGGTTAGTGGTGGTTGTTAGTGGTGGTGGTGGCTAGTAATGGTGGTTTGTGGTGGTGGTGGTGCTAGTAATGGTGGTTAGTGGTGGTGGTGGCTAGTAAGGCTGGTTTGTGGTGGTGGTGGTTAGTGGTGTTGGTTAGTGGTGGATAGTAATAGTAATGGTAGTTAGTGGTGGTGGTGGTAGTAATAGTGGTTAGTGTGGTGGTGGCTAGTAATGCTGGTTTGGGGCTGGTGGTAGTTAGTGGTGTTGGTTAGTGGTGGTGGTTAGTGGTGGTGGTTTGTGGTGGTGGTGGTTAGTGGCTGCTATTAGTGGTTGCTATTAGTGGTGGTGGTTAGTGGTGGTGGTAGTGTGGTAGTGGTGGTAGTGGTGGTACTAATGTGGTTAGTGGTGGTGGTGATTAGTGTGGTGGTGATTAGTGGTGGTTAGTGGTGGTGGTTAGTGGTGGTTAGTAATGGTGGTTAGTGGTGGTGGTGGCTAGAAATGGTGGTTAGTGGTGGTGGTGGCTAGTAATGGTGGTTTGTGGTGGTGGGGGTTAGTGGTGGTGGTTAGTGGTGATGGTTAGTGGTGGTGGTTTGTGGCGGTGGCGGTTAGTGGTGGTGGTGGCGGTTAGTGGTGGTGGTTAGTGGTGGTGGTTAGTGGTGGTTAGTAATGGTGGTTAGTGGTGGTGGTTAGTGGTGGCTAGTAATGGTGGTTTGTGGTGGTGGTGATTAGTGGTGGTGGTGATTAGTGGCTGCTGTTAGTGGTTGCTATTAGTGGTGGTGGTGGTTAGTAATGGTGGTTAGTGGTGGTTGTTAGTGGTAGTTGTTAGTTGTAGTTGTTAGTGGTGGTTGTTAGTGGTAGCTGTTAGTTGTAGTTGTTAGTGGTGGTTGTTAGTGGTAGTCACAGCCTTTACAAAACATCATAATACCAAAATGTTTATATATATATATATATGTCACGAGGGAGCATTCACCAAATTCAACTTCAATAACAAAAACATAAAGTGGGACCAAGTAAACCAAGTCCTAACCGGTATAAGCTGGGAAGATATACTAAGCAACACAGACCCAAACTTATGCCTAGAACAGATTAACTCGGTGGCACTCGATGTATGCACAAGGCTTATTCCTCTAAGAAAAAGGAGGAGTAGATGTAAAATAGAAAGAGACAGGCGCTCCCTTTACAGGCGACGGAAAAGAATAACAGAGCGGCTAAAAGAGGTCAATATATCTGAAATGCGCAGGGAGACACTGGTCAGAGAAATAGCAAGCATCGAACTTAAGCTAAAAGAATCCTTTAGGAGTCAGGAATCGCGGGAAGAACTAAAAGCCATAAATGAAATCGAAAGAAACCCAAAGTATTTCTTCTCCTATGCCAAATCAAAATCGAGAACAACGTCCAGTATTGGGCCCCTACTTAAACAAGATGGGTCCTACACAGATGACAACAAGGAAATGAGTGAGCTACTCAAGTCCCAATATGACTCAGTTTTTAGCAAGCCGCTAACCAGACTGAGAGTCGAAGATCAAAATGAATTTTTTATGAGAGAGCCACAAAATTTGATTAACACAAGCCTATCCGATGTTATCCTGACGCCAAATGACTTCGAACAGGCGATAAATGACATGCCCATGCACTCTGCCCCAGGGCCAGACTCATGGAACTCTGTGTTCATCAAGAACTGCAAGAAGCCCCTATCACGAGCCTTTTCCATCCTATGGAGAGGGAGCATGGACACGGGGGTCGTCCCTCAGTTACTAAAAACAACAGACATAGCCCCACTCCACAAAGGGGGCAGTAAAGCAACAGCAAAGAACTACAGACCAATAGCACTAACATCCCATATCATAAAAATCTTTGAAAGGGTCCTAAGAAGCAAGATCACCACCCATCTAGAAACCCATCAGTTACACAACCCAGGGCAACATGGTTTAGAACAGGTCGCTCCTGTCTGTCTCAACTACTGGATCACTACGACAAGGTCCTAAATGCACTAGAAGACAAAAAGAATGCAGATGTAATATATACAGACTTTGCAAAAGCCTTCGACAAGTGTGACCATGGCGTAATAGCGCACAAAATGCGCGCTAAAGGAATAACAGGAAAAGTCGGTCGATGGATCTATAATTTCCCTCACTAACAGAACACAGAGAGTAGTCGTCAACAGAGTAAAGTCCGAGGCAGCTACGGTGAAAAGCTCTGTTCCACAAGGCACAGTACTAGCTCCCATCTTGTTCCTCATCCTCATATCCGACATAGACAAGGATGTCAGCCACAGCACCGTGTCTTCCTTTGCAGATGACACCCGAATCTGCATGACAGTGTCTTCCATTGCAGACACTGCAAGGCTCCAGGCGGACATCAACCAAATCTTTCAGTGGGCTGCAGAAAACAATATGAAGTTCAACGATGAGAAATTTCAATTACTCAGATATGGTAAACATGAGGAAATTAAATCTTCATCAGAGTACAAAACAAATTCTGGCCACAAAATAGAGCGAAACACCAACGTCAAAGACCTGGGAGTGATTATGTCGGAGGATCTCACCTTCAAGGACCATAACATTGTATCAATCGCATCTGCTAGAAAAATGACAGGATGGATAATGAGAACCTTCAAAACTAGGGAGGCCAAGCCCATGATGACACTCTTCAGGTCACTTGTTCTATCTAGGCTGGAATATTGCTGCACTCTAACAGCACCTTTCAAGGCAGGTGAAATTGCCGACCTAGAAAATGTACAGAGAACTTTCACGGCGCGCATAACGGAGATAAAACACCTCAATTACTGGGAGCGCTTGAGGTTTCTAACCTGTATTCCCTGGAACGCAGGAGGGAGAGATACATGTTTAAATATACACCGGGAAAAATCCTAGAGGGACTAGTACCGAACTTGCACACAAAATCACTCACTACGAAAGCAAAAGACTTGGCAACGATGCAACATCCCCCCAATGAAAAGCGGGGGTGTCACTACCACGTTAAGAGACCATACAATAAGTGTCAGGGGCCCAGACTGTTCAACTGCCCCCCAGCACACAAAAGGGGGGAAATTTACCAACAGACCCCTGGCAGTTTTCAAGCTGGCACGGACAAGCACCTAAAGTCAGTTCCTGATCACCCGGGGCTGGGGCTCGTACGTTGGTTTGCGTGCAGCCACAGCAACAGCCTGGTTGATCAGGCGGATCCACCAGGAGGCCTGGTCACAGACCGGGCCGCGGGGGCGTTGACCCCCGAAACTCTCTCCAGGTAAACTCCAGGTATATATATATATATTATATATATATTATATATATATATAAAATATATTTTAAATATATATATATTTTATATATATATATAAAATATATATATATATATATTTTTATAAATATATATATATTATAATTAAATAAAATTTATATATATATAAGCAATCTAAATTATACCTGGCAAGTGTAATACCTGGAGAGGATTCCGGGGTCAACGCCCCCGCGGCCTGGTCTGTGACCAGGCCTCATGATGGATCAGGGTTTGATCTACCAGGCTGTTACTGTTGGCCACCCGCAAGTGTGTGGATGAATGTTGATAGTACTAAAAGAAATTAATGTAAATCTCTGTAAATTTATATTGTTTGATGGTCAATGTTGCTTCCTGACAGCTGCCGGTGCTGTCGTGTCAGGAGAGACTGATCTGTGAGCTGACAGCTGACCCTGACACTTTCCTGCCTGTCAGCCAGGTCTTTATGAAGGAACTCAGGTGAGATGATCGCCGTAACACCAGATACTGACTCTCTCTTGCCCATCAGGTACTTACACTTTCTTGCCCATCAGGTACTTACACTTTCTCGCCAATCAGATACTGACACTTTCTTGTCCATCAGATACTTACACTCTCTTGCCCATCAGGTACTTACACTTTCTTGCCCATCAGATAGTGACACTCGCTTGCCCATCAGATTCTGACACTTTCTTGCCCATCAGATACTGACACTCTCTTGCCCATCAGGCACTGACACTCTCTTGTCCATCAGGTACTTACACTTTCTTGCCCATCAGGTACTGACACTTTCTTGCCCATCATTTACTTACACTTTCTTGCCCTTCAGATACTTACACTTTCTTGCCCATCAGGTACTTACACTTTCTTGCCCATCAGGTACTTACACTTTCTTGCCCATCAGATACTGACACTTTCTTGCCCATCAGGTACTTACACTTTCTTGCCCATCAGGTACTTACACTTTCTTGCCCATCAGATACTGACACTTTCTTGCCTATCATATACTGACACTTTCTTGCCCATCAGGTAATTACTTTTTCTTGCCCATCAGGTACTTACACTTTCTTGCCCAACAGGTACTTACACTTTCTTGCCCATCAGGTACTTACACTTTCTTGCCCATCAGGTACTTACACTTTCCTGCCCATCAGGTACTTACACTTTCTTGCTCATCAGGTACTTACACTTTCCTGCCCATCAGGTACTTACACTTTCTTGCCCATCAGGTACTTACACTTTCTTGCCCATTAGTTTACTTGCACTTTCTTGCCCATCAGATACTGACACTTTCTTGCCCATCAGATACTGTTCAGTCCATCAAGGCTGATGGACTGAACACCGACACAAAGCTGAGGGACACCTCTATACATCACTAGTGAGGCCTCATTTGGATTATGCTGCTCAGTTTTGGTCCCCTTACTACAGGATGGACATAGACTCATTAGAGAACATACAGAGAAGAATGACTAAAATGATTTACTGTGTAAGAAACCTCCCGTATGAAGATAGACTTAAAGCCTTAAATCTCCACTCTCTGGAGAGGCGTAGAATGAGGGGAGATATCATTGAAGTGTATAAGTGGATGAGGGGCATAAACAAGGGAGATATTAATAAAGTACTGAGGGTGTCGAACCAGGTTAGAACCAGAAATAATGGATTTAGGCTGGATAAATTTAGATTTAGAAAGGACATAGGTAAGTACTGGTTTTCTAACAGAGTTGTAGATGCGTGGGACAGTCTTCCCAGTGGGGTGATAGAGGCTAGGACCTCCACAACCACGACCATCAAGGACATTACCAGTGTGAAAGTTAAGACACATGTGCAACATCTGGATATCTTTATTATAGACGTTTCGCCATCCAGTGGCTTTATCAATACAGATTCTAGGACATAATAGGAAGACAGTAGAACTATATACAAAAGATGAGGTAATCAGTCCCTCAGCCTTGGAGTTAGTGTTCACAGCATCGTGGTGGAGGAGAATCTGGAGCAACGGCAAGAAGACTGGCGGTTATATAGGCGTCAGTGGATAGGGACGGGCAGCAGACGAGGGCATAGTCACTGGTAGGCGGGATTCCCCAGTGGAAGTAGGTCCTTCCCAAAGAGATGGGTTAGTTGCAGCAGCCGTGAAGAAGGTCTTGTAGATGTTCTCTGATTCCACTGGGGAATCCCGCCTACCAGTGACTATGCCCTCGTCTGTTGCCCGTCCCTATCTACTGACGCCTATATAACCGCCAGTCTTCTTGCCGTTGCTCCAGATTCTCCTCCACCACGATGCTGTGAACACTAACTCCAAGGCTGAGGGACTGATTACTTCATCTTTTGTATATAGTTCTACTGTCTTCCTATTATGTCCTAGAATCTGTATTGATAAAGCCACTGGATGGCGAAACGTCTACAATAAAGATATCCAGATGTTGCACATGTGTCTTAACTTTCATATTGTCGGTATTTTATACCTTTCTTGCACGACATTACCAGTGATAGACAGGACAAGCTTCCACCCTCTGCAGGGGTATACATAATCCCTTGTAATGACTGCAACAAATTATACGTGGGCGAAACATCAAGGGACCTCCAAACACGTATTTCAGAACACCAATATGCAAGCAGGTCTGACGACACAAGGAATGCCTGTGTACAACACCGTAATTCACACAACCACTTGATAAACTACAGAAACTCAAGACTTATCGCCACAGAAGACAACACTCAATACCGAAGAATCCTGGAATCATCACTTATTTCTATATCCGACAACTTCAACCAGAACAATGGCTTCTATAACATAGCTGAACCACTTGCCAAGAAACTTCTTCATCGATATCCCACATAAGAACACAGGAATGGAAGAACACTGTAGGTCTGCTCACAAACTTATCCAATCTTTCCAAGCTTCCCAAGATTTTAGACTCTATAACCCCACTCGGTACATCATCAGATGCAGCATTCTCCACCTGACCTCAACATTCTGAACCTGACTATAAATACTCGCGTCCCTTCCACCCCAGGTAGATCTGTTTGTGACTTGAAAAAACCCACTGTGTGGGCGAAACGTAGTCAATAAAGGATCACATTATACTGCATAAGAACATAAGAAGAACATAAGAATGGAGGAACACTGCAGAAGGCCTACTGGCCCATGCGAGGCAGGTCCTTATCAAAACGACTACTACCTAAAGCTTGTAATAAAGTTGGTAGAATTACCGACAATATGTAAAGTAAAAGGACACAAGTGCAACTAATGTGACATTTATTGTGGCAACGTTTCGCTCTCCAGGAGCTTTATCAAGCCATTACAAACAATACATGGACACAGAGGGTATATAAAGGCTCAGAGTGAGGTGAATACTAGTGAGGTACCATTTCGATGTTCACTAGTGGTAGTAGTAGTAGTAGTAGTAGTGGTAGTGACAAAAGTAATACAATATGGTAGAGCAATTAATTACATACGAACCCATCAGCACTCAACAGTGGGAGACGCTCACCAAAGACTTTCTATACAAAACCAGACAAATACTCAAACGCACTAGAGAAGGGAAGAAACTTCTGTACTTGTTACCAAGCAACCCTAAACCAGCACACATGTATGGTTTACCCAAGACCCATAAACACAATATTCCTCTCAGACCAATCACGTCAGGAATAGGCAGTGCTCCACACAAACTAGCCGGAGTTCTTGCCAAACATCTTTCCTGCCTTCTGGGACCATCAGCCCCGCTCATCTTAAACACTCAGGCGACCTTCTCAACCGCATCCGTAACCTCTCCATCCGTAACAAGAAACTAAGCAGTTTGGATGTGACTTCCCTCTTCACAAAAGTACCTACCAAAAAAGCCATCGAGGTTCTACGACGTAAAGTCAACCAGGACCTTAATCTTCCTTTACCTCCCGGAGATTTTGTTGACTTGATTGAACTCTGTGTTAACTTCAACTGTTTTTCCTTCAATAACAAGCTCTACAAACAAACCTACGGCATGGGAATGGGGTCCCAATAAGTGCCGTCCTAGCCAACTTATACATGGAACACCTAGAGTCCGAACACTTCGCCAACATCATCCCTTCAAGCGTCACTTGGTTACGTTACGTGGACGATGTCCTGGTAATAACTCCAAAACGTTTTGATGTACGGGATCTTCAGGCAAGGCTCAACGCAGTTGAACCAGCGATTCAGTTTACACTAGAAGAAGAGTCCAATGACAAGCTACCTTTCCTCGACGTCCTCATTCACAAAGTAGACAACAACCTAAGATTCAAGTTTATCGGAAACCCACCAATAAAAATGATCTCACACACTTCTATTCCAGTCAGATACCAAGACCAAAAGAGGCATCATCATCGAGTTTTTTCCTAAGAGCATACCGAATTTGTAGTCCTGAGTTTCTTGACGAAGAATGTACTTACATTCACCAAACATTCACTGAGTTACAATTTCCTTCTATTTTCATCAAAGACTGCAAGAAAAGAGCTCTTCAGATCATCAATTCTCCACGCATCAACACCGCTCCCAACAAAGTTATAATTCTTCCCAACAGCCAGGTTGCACTAAACGTCTCAAAAGTACTTTCACAAGCTAACACCAGAGTCGCCATCGCTTCTACCACTTCAATAAAGGATCTAACCAGGACAAAACCCAAGCACCACGAACCAGTCAATGCAGGAGTTTACACTATACCCTGTGGAGGCTGTGACAAGATCTACGTAGGTGAAACAGCAAGAAACCTCGACACCCGCCTCAATGAACACATATACGCATGTAGGAACGACAACTTAAACAACGCCTGTGTACAAGTTGTGTACGAAATGGTATATAATACCGACAAGATGAGAGTAAGACACATGTGCAACATCTGGGTATCTTTATTGTAGACGTTTCGCCATCCAGTGGCTTTATCAATACAAATTCTAGGACATAACTTGAAGACAGTAGAACTATGTACAGAAGATGAGGTAATCAGTCCCTCAAACTAGGAGTAGGTGCGAACAGCACCATAGTCGTGGAGATTCTGAAGCAGAAGAAAGAATCCTGGCGCTTATATAGTAACGTCAGGTGTAGCAGACGAGGGCATATTCACTGGTAGGCGGGATTCCCCAGTGGAAGTAGGTCCTTCCCAAAGAGATGGGTTAGTTGTAGAAGTAGTTGTCGTAGTCGTGAAGGTTATGTACATGTCCTCAGAATTAAGATTCCATGATGTTGCAGTGTCTGACAAGTTGTGTACGAAATGGTATATAATACCGACAAGATGAGAGTAAGACACATGTGCAACATCTGGGTATCTTTATTGTAGACGTTTCGCCATCCAGTGGCTTTATCAATACAAATTCTAGGACATAACTTGAAGACAGTAGAACTATGTACAGAAGATGAGGTAATCAGTCCCTCAAACTAGGAGTAGGTGCGAACAGCACCATAGTCGTGGAGATTTCTGAAGCAGAAGAAAGAATCCTGGCGCTTATATAGTAACGTCAGGTGTAGCAGACGAGGGCATATTCACTGGTAGGCGGGATTCCCAGTGGAAGTAGGTCCTTCTCCAAAGAGATGGGTTAGTTGTAGAAGTAGTTGTCGTAGTCGTGAAGGTTATGTACATGTCCTCAGAATTAAGATTCCATGATGTTGCAGTGTCTGACAAGTTGTGTACGAAATGGTATATAATACCGACAAGATGAGAGTAAGACACATGTGCAACATCTGGGTATCTTTATTGTAGACGTTTCGCCATCCAGTGCTTTATCAATACAAATTCTAGGACATAACTTGAAGACAGTAGAACTATGTACAGAAGATGAGGTAATCAGTCCCCTCAAACTAGGAGTAGGTGCGAACAGCACCATAGTCGTGGAGATTCTGAAGCAGAGAAAGAATCCTGGCGCTTATATTAGTAACGTCAGGTGTAGCAGACGAGGGCATATTCACTGGTAGGCGGGATTCCCCAGTGGAAGTAGGTCCTTCCCAAAGAGATGGGTTAGTTGTAGAAGTAGTTGTCGTAGTCGTGAAGGTTATGTACATGTCCTCAGAATTAAGATTCCATGATGTTGCAGTGTCTGACAAGTTGTGTACGAAATGGTATATAATACCGACAAGATGAGAGTAAGACACATGTGCAACATCTGGGTATCTTTATTGTAGACGTTTCGCCATCCAGTGGCTTTATCAATACAAATTCTAGGACATAACTTGAAGACAGTAGAACTATGTACAGAAGATGAGGTAATCAGTCCCTCAAACTAGGAGTAGGTGCGAACAGCACCATAGTCGTGGAGATTCTGAAGCAGAAGAAAGAATCCTGGCGCTTATATAGTAACGTCAGGTGTAGCAGACGAGGGCATATTCACTGGTAGGGGGGATTCCCCAGTGGAAGTAGGTCCTTCCCAAAGAGATGGGTTAGTTGTAGAAGTAGTTGTCGTAGTCGTGAAGGTTATGTACATGTCCTCAGAATTAAGATTCCATGATGTTGCAGTGTCTGACAAGTTGTGTGCGAAATGGTATATAATACCGACAAGATGAGAGTAAGACACATGTGCAACATCTGGGTATCTTTATTGTAGACGTTTCGCCATCCAGTGGCTTTATCAATACAAATTCTAGGACATAACTTGAAGACAGTAGAACTATGTACAGAAGATGAGGTAATCAGTCCCTCAAACTAGTTATGTCCTAGAATTTGTATTGATAAAGCCACTGGATGGCGAAACGTCTACAATAAAGATACCCAGATGTTGCACATGTGTCTTACTCTCATCTTGTCGGTATTATATACCATTTCGTACACAACTTGTCAGACACTGCAACATCATGGAATCTTAATTCTGAGGACATGTACATAACCTTCACGACTACGACAACTACTTCTACAACTAACCCATCTCTTTGGGAAGGACCTACTTCCACTGGGGAATCCCGCCTACCAGTGAATATGCCCTCGTCTGCTACACCTGACGTTACTATATAAGCGCCAGGATTCTTTCTTCTGCTTCAGAATCTCCACGACTATGGTGCTGTTCGCACCTACTCCTAGTTTGAGGGACTGATTACCTCATCTTCTGTACATAGTTCTACTGTCTTCAAGTTATGTCCTAGAATTTGTATTGATAAAGCCACTGGATGGCGAAACGTCTACAATAAAGATACCCAGATGTTGCACATGTGTCTTACTCTCATCTTGTCGGTATTATATACCATTTCGTACACAACTTGTCAGACACTGCAACATCATGGAATCTTAATTCTGAGGACATGTACATAACCTTCACGACTACGACAACTACTTCTACAACTAACCCATCTCTTTGGGAAGGACCTACTTCCACTGGGGAATCCCGCCTACCAGTGAATATGCCCTCGTCTGCTACACCTGACGTTACTATATAAGCGCCAGGATTCTTTCTTCTGCTTCAGAATCTCCACGACTATGGTGCTGTTCGCACCTACTCCTAGTTTGAGGGACTGATTACCTCATCTTCTGTACATAGTTCTACTGTCTTCAAGTTATGTCCTAGAATTTGTATTGATAAAGCCACTGGATGGCGAAACGTCTACAATAAAGATACCCAGATGTTGCACATGTGTCTTACTCTCATCTTGTCGGTATTATATACCATTTCGTACACAACTTGTCAGACACTGCAACATCATGGAATCTTAATTCTGAGGACATGTACATAACCTTCACGACTACGACAACTACTTCTACAACTAACCCATCTCTTTGGGAAGGACCTACTTCCACTGGGGAATCCCGCCTACCAGTGAATATGCCCTCGTCTGCTACACCTGACGTTACTATATAAGCGCCAGGATTCTTTCTTCTGCTTCAGAATCTCCACGACTATGGTGCTGTTCGCACCTACTCCTAGTTTGAGGGACTGATTACCTCATCTTCTGTACATAGTTCTACTGTCTTCAAGTTATGTCCTAGAATTTGTATTGATAAAGCCACTGGATGGCGAAACGTCTACAATAAAGATACCCAGATGTTGCACATGTGTCTTACTCTCATCAGCCTGTGTACAACACCGAAATTCCACCAATCATCTTATGAAATTCAGAGACGCCAAATTAGTGATAAAAGAAACTAATTTCCGCACACGCAAGTGCCTTGAATCAGCACTGATCGCTGTTTCGAATACAATTAAACAAAACAACGGCAGCTTCACCATCTCCGAAGTCTTAGCAAGAATCCTCCTGAAAACAGTAAACCCTGCCATCACATAGTCTCTCCTGTTATACTACACAAAGCACAGAGAGTGAACACTGAAACAAGCTGCCTCATTCCAGTTTATATTTGTCCAACCTATTTTTATGTTACCCAAGTAATAGCTTTTATATCCTTTTACTCATGTACGAATTAATTGCTCTACCATATTGTATTACTTTTGTCACTACCACTACTACTACTACTACTACTACTACTACCACTAGTGAACATCGAAATGGTACCTCACTAGTATTCACCTCACTCTGAGCCTTTATATACCCTCTGTGTCCATGTATTGTTTGTAATGGCTTGATAAAGCTCCTGGAGAGCGAAACGTTGCCACAATAAATGTCACATTAGTTGCACTTGTGTCCTTTTACTTTACATACCTAAAGCTTCCCAAGAAATAACTCCAGTACCCAATGACACCAATCAAACCCAGCCCCTCCCACTCATATATTTGTCCAGTCTCTTCTTAAAGCTAACCAAGGTCCTAACCTCCATCACCCCACTGGGAAGACTGTTCCACGCATCTACAACTCTGTTAGAAAACCAGTACTTACCTATGTCCTTTCTAAATCTAAATTTATCCAACTTAAATCCATTATTCCTGGTTCTTACCTGGTTCGACACCCTATTTCTTGGGTAACATTGATAATGGGTTGGGCAAATATTTGGGCTTGAGAAGGAACTGTTTAGTATGGCCCAGTAGGCCTGCTGCAGTGTTGCTCCTTTCTTAAGTTCTCATCTTATATCCACAGACTTGTTAACGGGCCGGTCAGCATGACTAACGACTCTCTCATGTGGAGGTACATGTCAGCTGCACGTCAGGGCTTCACCTCACCTATTGGAAACTGTTCACTTCTCTACCCCAAGTGTCCTGTGCGTGCCCAGGACGTTATTGACATGTCTGTGTTGAAGGTATGGCAATATATCTCAACAAAAGTAAATATACACTTTTATTAACGGAAAGAACTCGAAAAAATAGCCAGATCAGTAGTCGACTGAAGAAACCTGCTAAGTGGGCGAAACATTTCGTAAATAAAGATAAAAATGTGTTGCACATGTGTCTTATTCATCAAGGAAAAATATAAAAGGGTATGAGAGCATAATTTATTGGTTAATGGGGTTTAAAGTCTATCTACTACACGAGGGTCATTAAGGCTGCATGTCACCTGTACACCACCAGTCAAGAATACTTTAATACTTAAAATACTGATTAATGTAAACTACCAGTGTATATACACTGAGAGATATACACCTCTCAGTGTATATACATTGAGAGACATACACCTCTAAGTGTATATACACTGAGAAACATACACCTCTCAGTGTATATATCCAATGAACAAAGGTGTCTTTATGATAAAGGATTCCTGAATCAGGTGAAGAGTTCTTAATCTAAGAAACCGGGCATATCCTCCCCTGACAGAACTGACTCTGTCTACCATCCACCAGGTACCACCATAACTGTCTACCATCCACCAGGTACCACCATAACTGTCTACCATCCACCAGGTACCACCATAACTGTCTACCATCCACCAGGTACCACCATAACTGTCTACCATCAACCAGGTACCACCATAACTGTCTACCATCAACCAGGTACCACCATAACTGTCTACCATCCACCAGGTACCACCATAACTGTCTACCATCCACCAGGTACCACCATAACTGTCTACCATCAACCAGGTACCACCATAACTGTCTACCATCAACCAGGTACCACCATAACTGTCTACCATCCACCAGGTACCACCATAACTGTCTACCATCCATCAGGTACCACCATAACTGTCTACCATCAACCAGGTACCACCATAACTGTCTACCATCCACCAGGTACCACCATAACTGTCTACCATCCATCAGGTACCACCATAACTGTCTACCATCCATCAGGTACCACCATAACTGTCTACCATCAACCAGGTACCACCATAACTGTCTACCATCCACCAGGTACCACCATAACTGTCTACCATCCACCAGGTACCACCATAACTGTCTACCATCCACCAGGTACCACCATAACTGTCTACCATCCACCAGGTACCACCATAACTGTCTACCATCCATCAGGTACCACCATAACTGTCTACCATCCATCAGGTACCACCATAACTGTCTACCATCCACCAGGTACCACCATAACTGTCTACCATCCATCAGGTACCACCATAACTGTCTATCATCCATCAGGTACCACCATAACTGTCTACCATCCACCAGGTACCACCTTAACCTTACCAACTTATCTAAACAAATTCAAATATTATCAAGAGTCGACCCCAAAAGAATGAGTTATCGACATCTCAGCTAACATCACTGACAGGAAACATCATTCCACTCTCTGTACACGTTGTGTATGTGATATACACGAGTCTACATTCCTTTCAATATAAATTTACATTGAATTTGGTGGTAATGAATTTCCATACTTTTAGGACTGACATATCCAAGACTTGGTTGGCAGCCAGAGGACAGGTAGGGAAGGCAGCCTTGCAGGTTTGTATAGGTGAGGCAAAACCTTGACGAGCAGCTGACATATATCTCCACATTAGTGAGTCAGCTGAGGAAGTTACTGGTCCATATACGTGTCTGTCAGGGGCAAGACAGAGCTGTCAATATAGTGTAAGGTTATTTAGACAAAGGTACATATAAGTATAATTATCATACGTAGTGTAAATAATCCACCAGGATAAACCAAAACTATTCAAAATGGCTTATTTCCATTGTGTGTGTCTCTGGTACCAACCAAGCTGGTTAAAGTAGTTCCTGTCTATATTTACCTATGTGTGTGGTTGCATGGGTTGAGTTTCAGCTCCTGGCTCTCAGCTAGGAGGCACTTAGTTGATATGAAGGATAAAATTAACATTTACCAGATCTAGAGGTTGTTATGATATTGAACAAGTCATGTCGGAAATAAATATATGAGGTATGCTGGATACGTGTTGTGTATCATGAACATGTGTCATCGACGTATGGGTAAAAGTAACGTAACATACGCCTGTGTTACCTGCCAGTCAATAATTCCTGGGTGTGGGTAGCATCCTGGGGGAATGACCTGAAAATATTGGCTTCACCCTTTACCGGGCAGGACCGAAAATAAGCCACACTACTTGGCTTATATAAGTTGCCCTGGCTTACTAATCTTCCAAGGTTATGAATCGAGATCAACCCTTCAAGACTATCTATGCAGTATAAAGGATCACATTATACTGCATATGTGTTTATATTTCCATTGTGTCGGTATTTTATACCATTTATTTCCACTATCTTCTTCTTACCTGAGTTCCTTGAGGAAGAGCTGGTCGAAGGGTGAGAAGGTACTGGGATCAGCAGCCAGTTCACAGATAAATCTCTCTTGACACGACACCAGAGGCAGCTGCAAGTGAGTGAGTGAGTGAGTGGGTGAGTGAGTGAGTGAGTGAGTCGTGTTACAGGACGAAAATAAAATATGCAAGTTCGAAGTCACTTTGTCAATTTGTTTTATACTCTGATACAGTTTAACCCATTATTCAACTCACTTATATAGCAGCATCTCTCTCGCTGACGGTAGACAGCCAACCATAACCTACCCTAGACGATATACCTACTGTACGCGAACCACCCAAACATTTTAATTGCAAAATGCAGGAGAATGAACACTGTTCAGGCCTAGACTCTATCCCATGATTGCCCATAACCCTCCTAGCCTATAGGGATGGTATGAGCCGCAGGGGCTCATCTGCTATGTGACTAATGAAGCTTAAGGTTCAAGGCCCCTAATCCCGGAGAGCCCCAGTAGCGACTTTAGTCCACATTGCTTAAAAGTTTTGGGTCTCCTGTATGAAAAGAGATTGCAAAGGGGCCCCCCATAACAGTTCAAGCTTAAAGGCCCCAAAAATCTAGGTCCGCCACTGGTCTAAGGTAATAGGCAACTGTTACTATAACTATCACCATTATTACTACTTACGTCAAGATGGTTGAAATAAAACGAAAGACGTGTCAATGGCTGGGTATAACCAGGATCCCACAGAAGATCCTCAGGGAGTGTTGCGTCCTTATATATAAGAGTAGTGTCCAAGGAACGATCCTTGTAGGTGAGTAACGTAGGCAACGCCAGACTCATGGGCACGGTCAATAGGAGAGCTGGAAAAAATTATGAAGATAAAGTAAGGGACCTCGGGAAAGTTCGTGCATACAGTAGTATGCTAGTTCGACTACTAGCACACTAAGCTCACACACTAAGGTCTGGGGGTCGATCCCCGGTACGGGTAGAAACATTAAGACGTGTTTCCTTAAAACACCCATCAGTAAAATGGGTACCTGGGTGTTAGTGGACTGGTGTGGGTCGCATCCTGGGGCAAAACTGACTTAATTTGTGTAAAATAGAGGCAAATTGATAATTAAGACACATGTGCAACAGTTGGGTATCATTACTGTTGAAAGTTTGACTTACACAGTAGACTTCTTCAGTCACATACAGAGGCAGCAGTAACAATGAAATAAAGATGATGTAATCAGTCCATCAGCCTTGGAGAAATGGTATGTGAGGTGGTCAGTCCCTCCAGGCTGAGGGACTGACCACCTGGCAAGAATATCAAGAACAGTAAGTGTTCTGTGGAAGAACAGTATAACAGCAGTTATAACCTCGGATAGCCAAGGGAGAAACAATAATTATATTGAATTTATGACAATTTTTTTTAGAAGTAGAGGAGAGACAAGACCTATAATTTAGAAGCACAACAAAAACAGCAGCCATATCTTTAATGGACAACAAAAACAGCTTTTCTTTGAAAGCACAGCAAGAACAGTCAAGAAAACACATAACACGAGTTCAATCTTTGCTTTACAAGCTATGTAAGTCAGATCCAGGTTACAAAGCAGTACATGTGACCGAGACTCACCCAGCAAGGTTGGTGCTGAAGGATTGACATAGAAGAATCTCTTATGACGAGTGCTGCTGCTGCTGCTGCTGCTGGTGGTGCTGCTGCTGCTGGTGCTGCTGCTGCTGGTGCTGCTGCTGCTGGTGCTGGTGGTGCTGGTGCTGCTGCTGCTGGTGGTGGTGGTGGTGCTGCTGCTGCTGCTGCCTTCACTGGACCCACACACTGATGCTGTACTCAGCACCAGCATCACGTACACTAGTGTCCTCATCTCCTGTATGAGTAACATCGTTACTAGTGTGTACTTTGTAAATTGTGAGTTCATTACCTTTGTAAATTGTGAGTTCATTACCTTTGTAAATTGTGAGTTCATTACCTCTGTAAATTGTGAGTTCATTACCTTTGTAAATTGTGAGTTCATTACCTCTGTAACTTGCTCAGCTATCAAAACTTTGGAGTCCAGTCCCTGGACCAATTATGTACCTCTGTAATCTTTTGACTACCGCCCACAGGATGGGTATGGGGTGCATAATAAACATATTAAACTAAAACTAAACTGTGTACTCACAGGATAGACTGAGGCCCTGAATCTGCACTCTCTAGAAAGGCGTAGAATTAGGGATGATATGATTGAGGTGTATAAATGGAAGACAGCAGTAAATAAAGGGGATGTAAATAACGTGCTGAAAATATCCAGCCTAGACAGGACTCGCAGCAATGGTTTTAAGTTGGAAAAATTCAGATTCAGGAAGGATATAGGAAAGCACTGGTTTGGTAATAGAGTTGTGGATGAGTGGAACAAACTCCCGAGTACCGCCATAGAAGCTAAAACGTTGTGTAGTTTTAAAAATAGGTTAGATAAATACATGAGTGGGTGTGGGTGGGTGTGAGTTGGACCTGACTAGCTTGGGCTGCCAAGTCTGGTGCCGTGCTTCTTCCTTAAGTGGAAGTGACTTGACTAAGTGGTCATTGTTCTAGGCAGGGGGGTGGCATGGACCTGCTTCGCATGGGTCAGTAGGCCTGTTGCAGTGTTCGTTCTTTCTTATGTTCTTATAAGTATTCTGCATAACAAGGGATTTTCTATATATGTAGTATGTCATTGATGTCAGCTATGGTCTGTATAAGTTGTATCATGTACTGGTGGAAATAAAGATTATTATTATTATTACAATTATTATTATTACAATTATTATTATTATTATTATTATTATTATTATTATTATTATTATTATTATTATTATTATTATTATTATTATTATTATTATTATTATTATTATTGTCCTACAGAGGACCCGCCTCTACAAGGTTCACTCTTTCCTAGCCTCGTGGCCCTTATCGTATCTGCTCCTAAAACTATGTATGTACCCTGCCTGTACCACTTCTTCCAAGGTCATCCCACTTCCTGACCACCGTAAAGCTAAATAAATACTTCCTGACATCCCTGTGACTCACCTGGACTACGAAACAGAATAATTACATATCTCAGTTATTCACACTCTTAACTTTTCCAATATTTTATGCTCAATAAAATGCTTATATGGAATTCAAGGCACTCTGTAATAATTAAGGCACTGTGAAACTCAAGGCACTATAAGAATTAAGGAACTATAAAAATCATGGCACTTTAAAATCAAGACAGTCTAACTTCAAGGCACTATAAAATCAAGGCACTTTAAAATCAAGGCACTTTAAAATCAAGGTAATATAAAATCAAGGTACTTTAAAATCAAGGCACTATAAAATCAAGGTACTATAAAATCAAGGCACTTTAAAATCAAGGTACTATAAAATCAAGGCACTATTAAATCAAGGTATTATCAAATAAAGGCACTTTAAAATAAAGATACTTTAAAATCAATGCGCTTTAAAATCAAGGTACTATAAAATCAAGGCACTTTAAAATCAAGGTACTATAAAATCAAGGCTCTTTAAAATCAAGGCATTTTAAAATCAAGGTACTATAAAATCAAGGCACTTTAATATCAAGGCACTTTAAAATCAAGGCACTTTAAAATCAAGGCACTTTAAAATCAAGGCACTTTAAAATCAAGGCACTTTAATATCAAGGCACTTTAAAATCAAGACTGTCAAATAAAGGCACTTTAAAATCAAGGCGTCATAAAAGTCATGAGACAATAATAATAATGTTTCTCTATTGTAATCAAGGTACTATAATAATCAAGGCAGGTTTCTGCCATTCCCTCTCCTCCCTGTTCAAAAGAATGTCCCTCTGTTATAGGCCTATCTAACTCTTGAGCTTAATTTTACAACTTTGCCCTTGTGTACCTGTTTCCCGCCTCTCTAAACACCCCCCCCCTGTCCCTCCTGTCCACCCTATTATGCAGAGTACTAGGGATGGTATTGGGTATGGTGCAGAGTACCAGGGCTGGTACTGGGTATGGTACAGAGTACCAGTGATGGTATTGGGTATGGTGTAGAGTTCCAGGGATGGTACTGGGTATGGTACAGAGTACCAGGGATGGTACTGGGTATGGTGTAGAGTACCAGGGATGGTACTGGGTATGGTACAGAGTACCAAGGATGGTACTGGGTATGGTTTAGAGTACCAGGGATGGTACTGGGTATGATGTAGAGTACCAGGGACGGTACTGGGTATGGTACAGAGTACCAGGGATGGTACTGGTATGGTGTAGAGTACCAGGGATGGCATTGGGTATGATGTAGAGTACCAGGGATGGTACTGGGTATGGTATAGAATACCAGGGATGATACTGGGTGTGGTGTAGAGTACCAGGATAGTGCTGGGTATGGTATAGAGTACCAGGGATGATACTGGGTATGGTGTAGAGTACCAGGGATGGTACTAGGTATGGTACAGAGTACCAGGGATGATACTGGGTATGGTGCAGAGTTCCAGGGATGGTACTGGGTATGGTGCAGTGTACCAGGGATGATACTGGGTATGGTACAGAATACCAGGGATGACACCGGGTATGGAGTAGAGTTCCAGGGTTGGTACTGCATATGGTGCAGTGTACCAGGGATGATACTGGGTTTGGTGTAGAGTACCAGGGATGGTACTGGGTATGGTACAGAGTACCAGGGATGGTACTGGGTATGGTACAGAGTACCAGGGACGATACTGGGTATGGTGCAGTGTACCAGGGGTGGTACTGGGTATGGTACAGAGTACCAGGGATGGTACTGGGTATGGTACAGAGTACCAGGGACGATACTGGGTATGGTGCAGTGTACCAGGGGTGGTACTGGGTATGGTGTACGATGAAGGTCGCTATCACTGGTACTGGGTACCAATACCTTCATCAATATTCACAATACACACTCCGAGGTCCACATAACAGTCCTCTGGTCTGTTATGTGGACCTGTTTAAAGTGTTATAGGGTGTATAACACTTTAAGTGGGATGTATAACTTAAAATAGGTGTATAGTTTTAAATAGGGTGTAAGACACTTTAAATAGGGTGTATAACGCATGTATAAATAGGGTGTATAACAAGCCAGGAGCTGTGAATCGACCTCTGTAACCACAAATAGGTGAGTATACACCTACAAATAGGATGTATAGCACCTACAAATAGGGTGTGTAATACCCACAAATAGGGTGTGTAATACCCACAAATAGGGTTACCTGGAGGTTACCTGGAGGTTATTCCGGGGATCAACGCCCCCGCGGCCCGGTCCATGACCAGGCCTCCCGATGGATCAGGGCCTGATCAACTAGGCTGTTACTGCTGGCCGCACGCAGTCCAACGTACGAGCCACAGCCCGGCTGATCCGGCACTGACTTTAGGTATCTGTCCAGCTCTCTCTTGAAGGCAGTCAGGGTTTATTGGCAATTCCCCTAATGCTTGATGGGAGGCTGTTGAACAGTTTTGGGCCCCGGACACTTATGGTGTGTAATACCCACAAATAGGGTGTGTAATACCCACAAATAGGGTGTGTAATACCCACAAATAGGGTGTGTAACACCCATAAATAGGACGTATAACACCCACATCAAAAACCCTCACCAAATTTTTTCTCTCTCAATTTCCTGTAGAGATCAACAGGAAAATTGGATCCTGACTCACCCACGCACACACAGGAGCTGTGCCTCGACCCCTGCAACCACAGACAGGTGGGTACAAATAGACGAGTACAGACAGGCGAGTACACAGTTCTTGCCAGCACTGAGACAGGGAGATGAGTGCTGGTCCAGGCCATACAGCACTCACCTCAGTGTTGGCAAATGTGTCCCAGTGTTGGGAAATGTGTCTAGGTTTGCGATGTGGTAATC